TATTTTAAGTTGTTGGAAAATAAAAATTAAAGAATACTTAGAATGAATAAGTTGCATGGCATACTCCAGAATAGCAAAAAGGTCTCTTCATAGAGCAAAGATTTCATATAGAGAAGTTGTAGATAGTATTCTAAAGATTGATTGGGATTAGGTTGTAGATTTTCCTGTAAAACTGGGTTGGCGGTGATTAACATTGAAACTTTGAGCACAAAGCAACAGGATGAAAACAATTTATCCTAGTATACATACTAGTCAGTAGTAATTGCAACCAGAAAAACTAGCTTAAACATCAAAGCAAAAGAAACCAGATGGAAGAGCTCTAGACAAGATGATGAGGTTTAATCTAGATGGTAGAAGTTGGAATGGTGAAAAAAGAAAAGATGGATGCAGTCTGTTAAAAAATAGAAAACTATAGACTTGGTAATTTGTTCAGTATACATTTCTGTACTGTTTATTTTATAAGTATGAATGCAAAGTGCTACAGGGAATCTAAAGTGAATAAGAAGATAATAATGATACTTTAGAGATGACTTGGTGATTTATAGCCTTTATGACCTGGTGTATAGTGCTATCATATGGTTGGAAAGTAGGATAAAGTACTAGTTTTTAATAGAGATTAATTTTAACTTGTTGAATTTTAAATGATGGTATTAAAATGGAAGTGTTTTATAAGACATCACAACTATGAAACTGAGATCAATATTGGGTATAGGAATAAAAGCATGTACCCCTAGGAGTCAGTATTACGAAGGAAGTAGTTGAGGGGAATATTTGAAGCCATGAAAATTGGTGTACTCTTTAAGGAAGAATGTCTTAAAGAAGAAAAGCAGAATCAAGAACTATACTTTGAAGAATAGCCATGATTGAATACTTAAAATGCCGAAAAATGAATAAGGAAGGGAGGGCAAAGAAAATCAAGAGAAACAAATTGTACACACTAGAAACCACAAAAAGAATGAGACGAGTTTCAAGATGAAAGTATAATTGGCCATCAGTGTCACTTGGCAACAGACAGTACGAAGGGAATGAGGATGAAGACAGACTTAACTATGAAGACGTATTTGGTAATATCTGAGAATGAAGTTTTAATAGAATTGTAGGATAGAAAATAGACTGCAAAAAAGTGGGCTTCAAGACAACTTTCTGGAATATCAGTTCTTAATTGTGGCTCATTAAGAGTATCTACCATCTTCCTGCCATTGAACTAGGCATCTAGCTAACAGTCTTCTTTCTAATTCTGTATGACTTCAACATCTATATGGATAATATCTTTGTTGCCTGGTTCTTTGATATGAAGATCTTTTCCCCCAGTTTTTTTATTCTCCATTCTGTCATAGCCAGTTAATTTTGTAGTCCTTGTTATCAGATGAAATTGCTGCATCTACAGAATTATTGATTTAGGCATCCTGCTTTCTAAATATCAGGTCTTATATTTCTAGCTTACTTGTTAAATACTTTCATTGTGGTTTTTTGGGGTTGTTTTGTTTTATGCTGAGGATTGAGCATGCACGTGCTCTACCACTGAGCTATACCCTAGGCTTCACTATGACTTCTTTAACTTTATATGACTTTCCAGTCCTTTTTCTTTATATTTTAACCTTGATTCTTTCATTTTCTTTGTATCTGATTTAGATTCTGTTTTATCATTTTAATATCTCTTATCAATTTCCTTTTCAGTTTTCATTGTACCCTTCTGAAATCATCACCATCCTGTATGAATTCAGCAGTATGCTTTCTCTTTACTTGTATGTAGTGAGAGAAAGAAAATTTCACAAGAGTACAAGTTAGTAGCACTACAAATTCATAATTACTACCTGCCTCCCTCATCCATTAGTACACACCTGACAACTCTAATATTTTCTATGGTCAGCTTATTCTTTCACAAAGAGTGTTCCAAATTTTTGATCCTCCTCAAATCTCTCCCTATGTTTGCTCTTATTCCCAGTAGATGATGTCATATCCTTTTTCATGAAGAAAATAAATGCTATCAGATCAGAATTGCAGCTTTCTGACACCAAAGTTATGTACCTTACCTGCAAGTATACCTAACCTTCCTTTCAATTCCAATAGAAGAAGATATTTCTCCTGCTATAAGTTTTAATTCCTCTACTTGTCTTTTGGTTTCTATTTGATAACTCCTTATTGGTCATCTTTTTCTCTCTTAATTATTAATTTCTTTCTCTTAACTGGTTCATATGAGCATTTACATATGCCTTGGTTCATCTAACCTTAAAAAATGAATAAATAAAAAAGAAAGTTCCCTTCTTTAACTCCACTTTTCCTCTTCTAGCTTCTTGCCAGTCTTTCCTCCAGTGTGTATATATTTTTATTTTTTTAGATGTTGATGAACCTTTATTTTATTCACTTATTTATATGCAGTGATGAGTCTTGAACCCAGGGCCTTACACATTCTAGGCAAATGCTCCACCACTGAGCCACAATCCCAGCCCATCCAGTGTATATTTTTAATCCTCATTCTTTCTGGACTCTCAGAAGCTTTCCATATAATTGCCCAATTTTCTTTAAATCCTCTCTTCTTTTGGCTTCCATTGTATCAGAAGTAATGGTTTTCTTTCTGCCATTCGAAGAATAATGGGAAGCAACTAGAAATGTTGTAAGCCAGGAAGGACCAGTTTTAGTGTACTGAATGGAACTAAAAGGGAGAGGAATCTATGACCAAAGGGAAGAAGAAATTTTGAAGCTACTGGAGTACTCTTAAGTCAGAGATGATATTTACTTATCTTAGAGTGGCAATAGTTGATTTGGAAAGAATTGAACAGGTAACGGAAATTTAAACAATGATATCGATAGGATTTCTGATGGATTAGATACAAGGGATGAGAAAACAAGATTTACGCACTCTGACTTAGGTGCCTAAGAGATGAGATAGCAAGGAATTTTGAGTGTAATGATGGGCAGAGATAGTCTAGCCATGCAGTTTTAGGAGCCTTTAAGATTCTGAAAAAAATGTCAAGGGGAAGGTAGGGGTATATATAATAAGCCTGTATCTTAAAGAAGGTACAAATATAAATATGGGAATTGTTGACATATAAGTGGTATTTTAGTAATCAAAGTTATTTATATAAAAGAAATGTAGGAAAAAGTACAGAGTAGGAAGAAGAGTTCCGTCCTTCAGATTGGATGAGTTAGCAAAGAAACTGAAAGCCTTGGGAAGAGAATATTTTAACAAAAGGAATAAGCATTTTTGTATTCTTTCAAATACATCCTTTATCTTACTTAATGATAATTGTCTCTACATATCCACTTACACAGTAGTTTAAGAGATTACAAGTTGGTGTATCTGGGGAGCTACCAAACACTTTTCTGTATAGAACTAGGTAGTAAATATTTTAGTCTTTGAGAACCATATGATCTCTGCTGCAGCTATTCAACTCTATCATTTAGCATGAAAGTAGCCGTGTACAAAATACAAAGTGTAATTCATTTCCCTCCATGTTTGTTATCCCATTCCCCTCACAACCTCTTATATGTAATTTTGTATAACAATGAGGGTCTCCCTCCATTTCCATGCAATTTCCCTTTTTTTTTCTCCCTTTCCCTCTCACCTCATGTCTCTGTTTAATGTTAATCTTTTCTTCCTGCTCTTCCTCCCTGTTCTGTTCTTAGTTGCTCTCATTATATCAAAGAAGACATTTGGTATTTGTTTTTTAGGGATTGAAGAGCTTTGTAATGTTGTGAACAACCAATAAAAAAAAAAAAGAAAGATATATATATAGAAAAAAATACAAAGTGTGACTTTGGGTAATATTAAGAACCTATTTATAGATACTGAAATTTGGATTTTGTATAATTTTCACATCATAAAATGTCCTTTTGATTTTTTTTATTCATTGAGTATATGAAAACCATATGGACTCTTAATCATGTTGCTGTAATTTAGCATAGGAGACAGTCTATAGATATGAAAACAAACACTGTTATTATATAACATCCTGTGTCAAAGGGAATTAGTTGATATAATGTATAGATTAATTATGAAGGAAAGACATGGGAAGTTAAGTTGACCAGAGAATGTATCTCTTGAGAAATATTAATTATTCTGAGACTTGAGCTCTATGATGAACTATGTCTGGGAAGAGTACTTAGGTAGAGTGATAGCAGCATGTAAGATGGCCCTGGAGACCATGAGTGCTCAATATTTTTCAAGAACTGAAAGATAGTTTTAGTTATAAATAACTTAAGATGTCTGCATTTAAATAATCACCAAATAATTTATTATACAGAGATTTAGTATGTATTGACTTTTCTTAAAATCTAACAATCGATGAGCATCACAATTGGCTTACTTACAAAGAATGTGTTGATTTCCAGTCTGTTCTACCTTCATTGACAACTGTTCAGCTAAAATTGCCATAGTATTATACAGATGGGTTGATGAGACAATTGATAATTAAACTAACATAAGGACAAGAGACTATTTAGCACCAAACCTCAAATGTACTATAACAAAAATCACAAGAGGAAATGGTTCTTACATGAGAAACCCAGTTAACTCTATAGTATGAAATGTGGCATACTAGCATATCACCATGTGAGATGTCTTAAGGAAAATAAAAGTGGTTGACAACTGAACTTGTGATTCATTGTCAGTTGGAAGAGGATAGACTAGATTTGGAAGAAAAAAAGTGAGAATAAAAGAATAAACATAAGTAGAGGTGGGAATGAGAATCCTGTTAGTAAAAGTAAAGGAGAAAAGGAAAGAATTCAAGGAAATGGAGAAGGGATAATGCTGATAGTTTCAAGGAGTCTATTCTAGTGTCATATAGGGTAAAACCTTAGAAATCTCTACTGAGAAAAAATGTTAATATCTCATATCTATTGCCTAATTATGAGATATTTCTCTTTGCAAACTCAAAATAAGAAATTATGTATTATTATATTTTAATAGTTTAAAATAATTTTTGCAAATATTTGTTTAAAAATAAAATGTATATACCATGTAGTATGTTGTATTTATTTACTCAAAATGTTCTTTTAAGTGTTTCAGGCTGCATGTATCAAGTAGTTCAGACGATTGGCTCGGATGGAAAAAATCTTCTGCAATTACTTCCAATTCCTAATTCTTCTGGAAATCTTATCCCACTAGTTCAATCTTCAGTCATGTCTGATGCTTTGAAAGGGAATACAGGAAAACCAGTTCAAGTTACTTTTCAGACTCAGATTTCCAGCTCTTCCACAAGTGCATCAGTTCAATTGCCCATTTTTCAGCCAGCCAGTTCTTCAAAGTATTTTCTTACAAGAACAGTAGATACAGCAGAAAAAGGTAGAGTTACTTCTGTGGGAACTGAAAATTTTACCTCATCAGTTTCTAAAGTTAAGAGTCATGGTGTGAAAATTGATGGACTCACCATGCAAACATTTGCTGTTCCTCCCTCAACACAAAATGATTCATCTTATATTGTAGTCAAAACCCCGAATCTTCCAATGACTGTGAAGTCTCCAGTTTTGCCTTCCGGGCATCATTTACAAATTCCAGCCCATGCTGAAGTGAAATCCGTACCTGCATCATCATTGCCTCCTTCAGTTCAGCAAAAGATACTTGCAGCTGCAACCACAAGTACCTCAGGAGCAGTTGAGTCCTCCCAAATACCAACAGTTATTTATGTATCTCCTGTAAATACAGTGAAAAATGTAGTTACCAAGAACTTTCAAAATATCTATCCAAAACCTGTTAAAGAAATAGCAAAGCCATTGATACTAAATACCACCCAAATTCCATCGAAAGTTGCTGCAGAGACACAATTAAAAGGTGGTCAGCATTCTCAAGCTGCTCCAGTGAAATGGATTTTTCAAGAAAATCTACGGCCTTGTACTCCATCTCTTGTTCCTGTTAAATCTTCAAATAATGTGGCTTCAAAGATTTTAAAAACTTTCGTAGATAGGAAAAGTTTGGGAGATAATACTGTAAATATGCCACCATTGAGTACCATCAGTCCTAGTGGGACACAATCCATAAGTGTGCCAATTAAAGATAATGCTTTGGTTATGTTTAATGGGAAAGTCTATCTGTTGGCTAAAAAGGGGGCAGATATTTTGCCATCACAAATTGATCATCAGAATTCTGTTTCTCCTGATATTCCACTAAGAAAAAACACATCACAGGTAGTGAGTCCAGTCACAGAAATATCCAGAGAGGTTGTAAATATTGTTTTGGCTAAAAGTAAATCTTTACAGATGGAGACAAAATCACTTTCAAATACCCAGCTTGCTTCCATGATTAATCTAAGTGCAGAGAAGAATAAAATGTTCGAAAAATCATCTCTTTCTACCACAAACCCACATAACATGAATCAATCCAGTAACTACCTAAAACAGAGTAAGACTTTATTCACAAAGCCAGTTTTTCCAGATGGATTTAGTACAGGACAGAATGCCCCCAGAAAAGGAAATACGATCCAGAGCATAGAGAAAATAAATTCCTCTGTTGATGCAACAACTGTTACTTCACAACAGTATGTTTTCAGAGACCAAGAATCAAAGGTAATTTTCCCATGTCAGGGTATTCTTTTTATATATCTATATAGAAATTTTTTCTTTCTTAATTCTCAGTTATGATACCTCTTTTACCCACCCCCACTCCATCATGCATATACTTAATTAAATCAAAACTCTCATCTGAGTATTGTTTGAGAAGGAGTACAATTAGGCAAGTCCAAACAATATCTTGAATCATTTGGATACCAACTCTTCAAAACAAAAACAAACTAATAACAACAACAACCAAAAAAAAAAAAAAAAAGCAGAACAGCAAGTTTTCTTAGAAGAGTTGGGGGAGGATTATATGACTTCAAAGATTAGTAAAATTGTATACATACATATATATATATAAAATAGTATGCTTTTAGTATATGAAGAAAGCAACATGTATATAGAGAACTGGGTTTTGGGGGGAGGTGTGTGTGTGAGAGAGAGAGAGAGAAGGTATTGGAGAAATATTCAGGGTTTTTTTTCTTTTTAATGTGGAAAGGGACTAGTCAGTATCTTTCAGTTGTTTGTGGAAATAAGATTTTATCATTATCTTTGGTGGTGGGTTTATTTATTTATTTTTGTTAAAACAGGTTTCTTTTTTCTTTTTTTTAGCCCTTCTCTCTTGACTCCTCATGCCCACCAGTTACCCTCTGTTCTTAAGATATGAATGTTTGTGTGCTTATTATATACTCATGTACCTACCTTTTCCTTGTTTTACTTAGAGGTCTGCTTTATAATGTCAGTATTTTTCCTCTTCAGTAATAATCCATTAAACTTTAGAGATCTAAGGAAGTGAATTCTGATAATTACACAATTGATTAAAGACATAATGTTTCAGAAGACTAATTTCTAAATAATGTTACATTTTTTTAAAAGTTGTTATTGGCCTCTATTCTCATTTCAGTTGTTTGAGAATGGACTGTTACCTTTCTAGTGCAACAAGCTAAAGGTAGAAATTGTAGGGGAATTATTTTAGATTTTAATTAAATTCAGTATTTTGAGTGTGGGTGGTAAGGTAAAGGTAATGCAAATCCTTAAAAGCATGATATCTTTTTTATGAAAGATTAAATAATCTCTTAGTTACTAGTCTGATAAATTGAGTAATTAGTAGTATTGTTTGTGTTTTCTTAATTCCAGATACAGAATGAGATGGCATCAACGTTAGGAAAAGTCTCTCAAGGAAGAAATGACAAGAAAGTCTCTCAAGGAAATAGTGTTAAGGCATCATGTCTGAAGAGCGATGCTGAATTTAAAAAGATATTTGGTCTCACTAAAGATTTGCGAGTGTGCCTTACTCGAATTCCTGATCATTTGCACTCTGGAAAAAGTTTTGATTCCTTTAGCAGTGAGATGAAGAGTAGTACTAACACAGAGACAGAGTTTGTGGTGAAGGAACAAGAGAGAAAACAGGTAATAGGTCTTAAAGTGTCCCTTGTAAATACTACAAAAATATATGAATATATTAGTTTTTTTTAATTTGATTTTTAGTTTTGTGCACTGGTATGAATGGTGATTGTTATCAAATTTGCAAGTATGTATTATACCAAAACAATGTTTAAAAGAAACATGCACAGATAAAAATCTATCCCCAGTTAAGACATTGTTTTAAGTGTTTTTATTCACCTATTATCTTTTTTTCCCCATTGTAATACAAGAATAGACCATAACATTTCAACTAATGATTATCCAAATGTGGAAAATATAAGCATGCAGATGTTCATTGCAATTTTACTATTAATACATTGTAAGCAACCTAAGTGGTCAGTAATAATGAAAAGATATGTCCCTGAAACTTTATCTATTGTCATTCTGGTTGTGACTATATCATCATCTATCATCTAGTATTCTGAACCTCAACCCTGCCCAATGAAAAGCTTCCTTCCACATATATCTTCTGTGCAAAGGAAAAGAAAAAAAAAATTAAATCAGCTATTTCTCAGGTGCTTCACAAGTGCTATTGTATTTTGCTGGAATGTCCATAGAGCTTTTAATACATGAACAGGAATGGTGTGAATTAAGCAGTTTATTCTCAGTGACTATGATTATATACAATGCTATTTGTTTTGATACCACACAGTAGGATCCCGGTCTTTTTTGCTATTGTTGGCCCAAGTAAATTTCATTGAATTGAGTTTACTTGCTAAATATTTGTGTTTGCAAATTTTGTTAAATTTGAGAGCACGTTATATATATGACAATAACTTTTTTTCATGATCTTACTCAACATTGCAACAGGGTTTTAATAAGAAAAGAAAAGCAAAAAACATGAAGAAGATGGATCACACAAAGAAGAGAAAAACTGAGAGTACCTGCAACACAGTCATAAATGGGGTAACTATTGTCACCAGTTCCCAACCCCTATGCAGTGTTTTACCGACTTCAGACGTATCAAAAAATAACATTCCCACAAGCTGCAGCAAAACCAGAGAAGAAAAGATAACTGAAGTAGAACACTGTTCCCACAAGAAGGAGGAGAAAGGTGCATTGAGTTCATATGCAGCTTTTGAACAAAGTAATTTCTTTAGTAAAAAATATACTGAAGATATTTTTCCAGTGACACCACCAGAATTAGAAGAAACCGTCCGAGATGAAAAAATAAGAAGACTTAAACAAGTGCTAAGAGAGAAGGAAGCAGCTCTTGAAGAAATGCGTAAGAAGATGCAACAAAAATAATAAAAATGTTATGTACTGAAAGACTTTAATATGAAATAACTGTGTTTTTTAAATAGACTTTTGTATTAGTATATTATTCCACCCTTATGTACCAGGAATGCTTTTCAAATGGAAGGCTCGAAAGTGGAGATAGTACTGAACCCTGTATACAAGCACTGTAATACTGTTGACAGTCACTCTGATAACAGTTACATAAGTGAATCATTAATGGTCAAGTAGCAGATATAGAGTGGATACCCTGGACAAAGGGATGATTCATATCTTGAGCCAGGGGAATGTAAGATTTCATCACACTACTCAAAATGACAGAATTTTTAAAAAAGTTATAATAAATTATTTCTTTCTGGAATGTTCTGCTTTAATATTTCTGGATAGCAGTTGATGGTGAACAACTGAAATCACAGAAAGCAAAACTGCAGATAAACAGCACAGCGGGAGTATTGTTAAAATATATATGTGTTCTGAAAATGAAACCTGTTTTTTCATCAGTTTATTATAGAATTTAAGAAATACAGAAGAGGGTGATTCATGTATGACTTGTGAATAATATACATGAGGTGTCTGAACCATTTTCTTAGATACCTTTTTCTGGAAGGAAAAAAATTTATATTTTTCTATTATTTTAACTGAAAACTTCCCAAGTTTGAATATTTGTATATAAGGTTTTTGTTATTGTTGTATCTTTAGCTAAATTGCTCAGGTGTTACTCCAACAATAGATAATTAGTGTGTACTATTAAAATTTTACAGTCCAAGAGAGGAAATTAGCAGTAAATTTAAATTTACCTTAGACTTTAAAAGTACTATACTCTCTTGGTCTCTTTACCTATAAAATAATGATAACTTTTACCTACCATTGTTGATTTTAAAAATTTCTTTAAAAATTATAGCAGCATCATTTAAGTATTTAACCATTTTTCAAGAGGGAAGGACACCTGTTTTGTAATTTGTCAGTTATTTTATATAATCCAAAATAATATTTGGAATTCAGGCTATTTGATATATTGTTGGCTTAAAGTGATGTATCTTTAGACAGCAGAACCCCCTCTCCCTTTATTCCTTTGGTAATATGTACATATATTATATAGATGGTGTAAAAAGTATCAATACTTTTTACACAGTGAAATGTAGTTTTTCTTAATAGAGGAATACATTTTTCTTTCTTTTTTTTTTAATTTTGGAGAGTTTGAACGTAGTGTAGGGATAGAGATTAAGAAGAGAGAAGAATTAGAAAATGATTAGCAAATATGGGGGGATAAGATTTTTAAAAATGTGTCCTGGCAACAACAGAGAAAATACTAAATCAAAAAATACTGAATAGGATTGAAATAAGTACATCAACTAGACTTTGCTGCCTTTTTATTTTTGCAAATAGCTTTATTGAGATATATTTCACATAGCACTAAATTCTCCCTTTTTAAAGTGGTTTTTATTCTATTCAGAGGTGTGCAACCATCAATACACTTTGAACACAACAGGAACAAGTCCTATACCATAACCATCACCCCATTCATTATCCTTTCCTAAGTACCACTGTTTCTGTAAAACTAACTGTTGAAAACATTTCATCTGCATGGAGTCATACAATATATTTTAGTTTAGTTTAGTTTTATTTTTACTTGGCCTAATATTTTCAAGGTTCATCCATGTGGTAGGATGTAACATTAATTTTTGCTGAATAATATTTTCTTGTATGAATATATAGTCATCCCTCAAAATCTGTGACAGATTGGTACCAGAACCCTTCCCAGGGATATCAGAATCTTTGAATAATTAAGTTTCTTTTATAATATGGCATAGCATTTGCTAATAGGCTACTTATCTCCTCCTGTGTATTTTAAATGATTTCTATATTACTTGTAATGGCTAGTACAATGTAAATTCTGTGTAGATAATTGTCCTTATTGTTTAGGAAATATTAAAAAAAATAAAGTCTGTATGTGTTCAGTACAGACAAAAAAAAAAAATCCAAATTTTTGATGCATGGTTTGTTGTGGAACCTGCAGACAAAGAGGACCAATTGTATCACACTTTGTTTTTCCATTCATCTGTTATGGATATTTGGATTATTTCCACTTTGGGCTACTAAAAATGTTGCTATGAATGTTTGTGTGCAAATTTTTGTATGAACATATTTTCAATTACCTTGAGTATGTACCTAGGCATGTAATTGCTGGGTTATACAGTAACTCTGTGTTTAACATTATGTGGAACTGCTGAACAGTTCCATTCAGTTTTGCTCCCTCTACTTAAATAGATTTTGTCAAGGTCCTCAGTGATTTCCATGTTATTTAATCATAAGGTCACCTGTCAGTCTTCTTAATAATTTCATAAATCATTAATGACTTTGATAAATATTTAAAACATTTATTACAGAGTAATGCATGTTCATTGTGGAAAAAATTAGAAAATATAGCAAGCTAAAAATCAAATCTTCACAGTCCTATCATTGAGCATTCATCACTAAAGTTATACATTCACCTTAATCTTTTCCAGTCTTCTCTGTGTATGTATGTTTTTTACCAAAATAAGGTTTTTATTTTTTTATCCTGCTTTTAAAGTTAACAGTTTTCAGCCTTTCAATAAACTTTCATTTCTTTCAATATTCACACTACATTCACTTATTTGACCGCAGGATATCATTTTCAACTGTTTTTTTCCAAAGCAGAATCAAAGTTAGGACTATGTGTTTTATTTAGCCGTTGTATCAATTTCTTTTTATGATATTGATTTGTTGCAAAGAACAACCAAGTGTCCTGTTTCCTTTTACCTTGATATACATTGATTTCACTTCCAGTAGATGACACTTCTGTGTCAGTGTGTGGCTCATTTTCAGTCTTTCTGGTTCCTTCTCCCCAATTTCTTAATTCCTTTGGTTTGCTTCTCTGCTTTTGCTCACTTTCTCATCCAGTTTGTGGCTTTAAACACTAAATGTTAACAAGCAACAGATTTTCTTTACTTTGAAATCTCTGTCTTGGATCCAGAATTTTATAGCCAAATGCTTATTTAAATCTCTATTAGATATCTAAATAAACACCTCAGACTTTTGGCCAAAATAGGACTTGTGTTCTTTCCCCAAACCAACTTTACCCACAATTTTTTCCATTTTAGCTGATGACAATATCCTATCTGTTTCTAAAGCCAAAAAAACTTGTCATTCTTTACTTCTTTCTCACACCCTGCCTTTACTTCAAATTCGTTTGGTTTTGCTTTCAAAATACTTCAAATCTGACCACTTTTCATCTTCCATGTGCTAGGCCCTGGAGTGGATTATTAGTAGCCTCTTAAGCCCTCTCCCTCCTTTCTGCTCCTACAGCCTTGTCTCAGTACAACAACCAGTGATCCTTTTGAAACAAGTCATTCTTTATTACATGTCAGTGACTCCTATCACATGGAGTAAAAGTGATGAGGGCTAGAGATCCAACAGGAGCAAATTGAATTAAAGTACAGCTCTTTGAACATCCTTTCTACACAATTTCAGTCTCATGTCCTGTTTTTGTCTAGGTAGAGAAGTCAACTTTTCTTTAAAAATTATGAACTGAGATTTGAAAGGAAACAGGATTTAAATTATTGAAGGGATAAGAAGTAGATTTGGAAGAACTTTCCCATCAAAGGGAGACAGTGAACTGAAAGGTAGGGAGAGTATGGCCTATGTGAAGAGTAAAAGAATACCAGTGTAGCTGAAAGCTGAGTGAAATATTGTTGTGAAAACTGGAAGGACAAATTTAATTCCCAAAGAGTAGCTTGAGCCAATTGATCTTAGTTCCTTTGAAGACAATTTGGTTTTACTACCCAGATAATTATAGTATTTTCTCTTTATAATTTAAGTACTTTGTTACATTATTTTTTCTGCTTAGCTATTTATAGAGCACTTAGCTTCCCACAGTTCCAAACTTTCATTGAATTCCTTCCTCCAACACTGAATCTTCATAGGCCTTTCTTCAGTTCAGAAGTTTCAAGATAGAAGTTTTTATCTTGCTGCTTCAGATGCACTTATTATGGACTCTTCTTTGGGAAAAGGCATTGACCATTTCTCAAGTGCCATCAATTTTTTCTAATTCTTAATTGTCAAAAACAATATCAACTCATTCTATTTTTATTATATTCTGTTTTTAATTTCCTCCATTGCTAACTTTGTTCCTGTACTGTATTTAGTTTCATTGTATTATTATTTGTGTACATTTATGGGGCTTATTTTTCCTTCTGATTTGTCTAAGCCAAAGGCTCCCAGGCTTTCTTGATTTAGGGCGCTTTTAGTGTCTCAGACGTTTATTTATGGTACCAGTAGGTCAAAATAACTCATTAAGTGTTTTGGATTTTTTTCTATTATTGCATAACATATTAACAACTTGGCAGCTTAAAACAACATTATTTCTCAGTTCTATAGGTCAGAAGTCCAAGTGGGCTTGGTTGGGTTCTCTGTACAAAGTTTCAGAAAACCAAAATTAAGGTGTCAACCAGGATAGCTTTTTATCTAGAAGTTCTGGAAAAGAATACTTTCAGTCTCATTCTTATTTTTGACAGAATATAGTTCCCTATGGTTATGGGACTGAAGTTCTAATTTTTTTTCAAGTACTGGTGGGGGAACACTTAAACTCTTATCCTGTTACTTCCTGAACCTTCAAAGTTAGCAATGGTACATCAATCTTTCACGCTTCAAATCTTTCTGATTAATGCCACCACCCATATAAAATGAGGATTTTTAAAGGGTTTGTGTCATCACATCAGGCCCACCCCAATGATCTCTTTGCTATACAATTTAACATAAAAGTGATTCATGTTCTAGGCCTCACCCACAAAGGAATCATGGATGAGAATTATCTTAGAATTCTGTCTTCTGCATGTCGTAACATCATAGTAGCCATTTGAAGAAATAACATAGAAATTGAAGAAAAAATACTTAATCTTTAAAAACAAAACCTAAGTATTGAAATGGTATGACAATTGGGCACTGCACAACTTAGACCTCAGATGCTACTTCTGCCCTTAATTCCTGTTACGTATTAATTGTAATAACAGTGCTTGCTTTTTGTCACAGCAGTTTCCAAAAACATCAGTCTCAATTTGATATGCTGAAGTTTTGAACTACTTAAACTAACAGCTAATACAAAGTCAAATAGCTATTACCACCCTCAAAAAATTAGGATAATGAACTGCATGTGTTAGTCATTTTTCTGTCACTATAACAAATACTTGAGTTAATAAATTTATTAAAATTTTGGAGATTTGGCTCATGGTTTTAGAGATTTCAACCCGTGTTAGGTTGGCACTATTGCTCTTGGGCCTGTGGCAAGGCAGCATGACAGGGTGGGGAGTGCATAGTGGAGCTGATCTCACTTCATGGCTTGGGTCCTTTTTGAGGTGATCTGAAGACCTCCTGATAAGGTCCTCCACCTTCAGTTGCCACCACATTCCAATATTGCCACATTGGAGACCCAAGTGTCTCCTCATGGACCTATGAGGGACCCTTAAGATCCAAGTTATAGCATTACATCTCTTGGTCTTGGTGACTAGGGACTGTACAGTTTGTGATCTACTAAGTAATGTAGTTCCTTTGAAGAACTGTGGTAGTTCCTGGTATCCTTGCATCAGGGATCAACCAATTGAGGGACAGGTTTTCTTTTTTAGGCACTTACCTCCTGGGTTCCAAAAAAGGACTGTTGTAGCTATTTTGCCATTCATAGGGGAGTCAACACAAATATGAAACCAATAGCATGGGAGAGGGCAAGGCCAGTAGAATCATAAAGAACATAAAGCTAGAATCCTGATTGAATTGACTGAAGTGATAATGATTCCCACATCTGCCACTGATTTTTTAGTTATTCAAGATCGATATTGTACTAAGAATACAATGGTAAATAAAGCATGGATTAAGGAAGAAAGGGATCATAGGCAAATAATTATGGAGAATGAGAGTGGTGTAAAGAAAATAAAATCAGGATAAAGGACAGGAGAGTGGCAGGTAATTATTTTAGATAAGTAGAGAAACCTCTGAAGGGATGACACTTGAGACCTAATGATGGTTGATTTGTACAGGGTTGTCAGGGAAGAACATTGCAAATAGAAGGAACAGGAAACTATGGTTCTGTTGGAGGAAGGAGTTTGCCTTCTAATAGTAAGCAAAGGGAAATGTAGTGAGATAAATTTTGAAAGGCAGGTGATTACAGGGATTTATAGACGCATTTGGATTTTATTATAATTGTGAGAAGGAGCCATTGGAGGATTTTAAGCAGGAGGGTTACATAAGCTGATTTATGTATTTAAAGTAAACCAAAATGCAAATAAAACAATTAGAATATTTAATAATTCACTTTTTTCCCAGACACTTTTTTTTGGTATTTTGCCTATAGTAATTCACTAATCTTATAGATAAGGAAGAGAAGACAACTGGTCCAAGGTCATTGTTTGCTGTAAGGTAAATGGATAAGTAGGCTAAAAATAAGTCAGTGGGCCATTTCAGTGGTTGAGGTAAAAGCAATCCACTTTGAGAGTGGTAAAAAAATTATATTTTTAATTTAATGGCTACTGGATTTATAGCCATATTGAATGTGGGTAAAGGGACAAAAGAATTAAGCATGACTAACAGATATGTTTACTTGAAGAATTGGATGGGTAGTAATACCATTAACAGAGAAGACTGAAGAGGAGCTGATTTATAGGAAATAGTGAACTCAACTTTGGACAATTGGTGTTAAAGAAGATAATAGAAGATAACAAAATTGTGGCTCCTTTTTGAGTATTTTTAAAGTTTGGAAAAGAATAATCTTAAAATTTTTTTAAAGACTGGAAAGTGATAACTTCCATTTTAGTTGATTTATAGATTCTTGGAATAGTGTCTTACATATAATAAGCATACTATCAGAGTTTGTTAAATAAATGCAATTAAAACCATAATAGACACCATTTTATTTCATTTTCATACCTGTTTATTTTTCTGTTCATATATTAAGACTTTGCAACTCATGAAAGTAATCAAGCACCAATGTTTCTTCTGATATTGTATTCCATGATACTGAAATGTGGCTTGACTCCTTTTTCATGATTTTTCATAATCCATATTTCTGATCTCAAATGTTAACACTCTCAATCTGAAATTCACCCTAACTAGAATTTTTTATTTCTCCTTTTACTTTTTTGGGGGAAGGTGAAGCATACTGGGGATTGAGCCTGGGGGCACTCTACTACTGAGCAATAGCCCTAGCCCTTTAAAAAAAATTATTTTTGAGACAGTCTCACTAAGTCGCTGAGGCTGGCCTTGAAGTTGTGATCTCCTGCTTCGGCCTTCTGAGTCACGGGGATATTTATTGAATAGATGTATGCCATCATACCAAGCCCTAATGTTGCTTTTGTCAAGAATCTTCAATATCTATCATATTGCTAAATCTAGTAGTCAATTTGTCCTAGTCAATAACATTTGACACCTTTGATCATTCTGTCCTTAATGAAATGTATTCTTCACTTTGCTTCCAGGACCCATTATTCTGTTTTCCTAATACCCCATTGACTCTTCTCAATCTGTTTAGCTGCTTCCTCCCCTTCTCAGATTTTCTCAATGTTGAAATTACTTAGAGCTCAATCCTTTTATGCCTTTATTTTATATCTATACTCATGTGGTGGTCTCATCTAGTTCTTGAGGATCAAAATATCTACTACTCTCTGGACCCTAAACTTCTGTATTTAGTTGCCTCCATGATATTTACACTTGGGAGTCTAATGGGCATTTTGAAATAATCTCAAACACAAACCAAATTTTGATTATCATTCATACTACAGTTTTTATTCTGTTTAATTATACATGACAGTAGAGTACATTTTGACCCATTTTTACAAACATGGAGTACATCTTATTCTAATCAAGATCCCCATGTTTTGGTTGTACATGATATAGACCATTCTGGAAAGCAGAAAGCATGGATTGGAACCACCATTTGACCAAATTTTTCCAGTCTTTTGTATACACCAAAAGGCCTTAAAAACAGCCTACCCAAAATTTGCCTCAATAAAGATCTTCCCTATTTATATTAGTGGCAAATCCAGTCTTCCATTTTAAAATAGAAATATTGGAGTTCACCTAGATTTTTCTCTTTGTTTTATGCTCTACAAACAGTCTTTTAGAAATTCTCTTGATTATTATATTATACCTGGAAGCTCACTAACTCGACTGTGATTATCTTTCTCATCTGGGTTTTTGAAATAACTACCTTTCAACTTCCGCCAGTGTTGTCCTACAACTTGGCATGAGCACAATAGCCAAATGATTTTATTAAAATGTAAATTAGGAAGAAGAAAGGGCAAAACCTAATTTAAAAAATGGAGAAAACGTATGAGCAGAAAACTCACCATAAAAGTGAACAGGTCATACAATTATAATCTCAGTGACCTGGGAGGCTGAGGCAGGAGGATTGCAAGTTCAAAGGCAGCCTAAGTAACAGAGTGAGATGCTTAGCAACTGTCAATAGTCTGTCTCAAAAAAGTAAAAAGGACTGGGGATATATAGCTAAGAGGTAAGGCATCCCTGAAATTTAATCCCCAGTACCAAAAATGGATATATGAGGAAGGGGAAGGAACAAGAAGAAGGAGAACAAGATGGGGGCTTATAAGAGAAAACAGGAATCAACCTGAAAGAGCTCCTAATGACCCAGGTTGAAATAATTTGCACAAAAAAGTATAGTATTTGACTTTAACTCTTAGAATTAAATATACTATGAATATATACCAATATGAAAATCAAGTACATAAATGGTGGGGGGGGGAAGGGGAAGACTTTTAGCTTGTGGTAATCTTTGACTAAACATTTATGTTCCCCTCCACCTTCCCCATTCAGATGTTGAAACTTTAATCCCTAGTGTGGGTATCCATTCATTCACATCTACTTTAATTTCTCTCAATAAAATGTTGTGGACTTCTCTCTATTATTCTCTTTCTAGAAGCAATTTATTTTTGATTTGATTTAAAAATATTTTGACACCTTATTTCAGTTTTACTTTTTGTATTTTTCTTTTTAGATATACATGACAGTAGAGTGTATTTTGACATATTATACACACATGGAGTATAACTTATTCTAATTGGGATCCCATTCTTGTGGTTATACGTGTTGTAGAGTTTCACTGATCATGTATTCACATATGAACACAAGAAAGTTAAATGTTTATAGCAGCTTAACTCACAATAGCTAAGCATTGGAGCCAATCTAGATGCCCTTCAACAGATGAATGGATAAAGAAAATGTGGTATATAGACCCAATGGAATATTACCATAAAGAAGAATGAAATTATGTCATTTGCAGGTAAATGGATGGAACTGGAGACTATTGTGCTAAGTGAAATAAGCCAGTCCTCCCAAACCAAAGGCTGAATGTTCTCTCTGATATGTGGATACTCACACTTGGTTTTACTTTCTATCTAATTATTGTTGTTATAACAAAATATGATTAACTTCTGTTTATCAACCATGTCCAGCAACCTTGCTAAGTTCTTTTTTATTAATTTTAACAGTTTATATATGGTTTTGAATTTCCTACATGCACAGCCACACATATGTAAATAATTGTGGTTTTGTTTCCTCCTTTCTCTCTTTCTTGCTTTAGTCTTTTACAAGAGAACCTGGTAGTAAAATACTAAATAATTATTTTTGTTACAATATTAAGGGAAATTGTTCAACATTTCCCCATAAAAAATAGTATTTATTGTAATTTTTGTAAATATATGCTCATTTTGGAGTATATTAATCAAAGATTTTCAGAGAAATAGAAATAAGGTATTGTGTGTGTATGTGTGGGGGGGGTGAGGGCGGGTGAGGGGACAAGGGGGAGAGATTTTAAGATATTGGTTCATGCACTGGCAAGTCTAAAATCTGCAGGGTTTGTCAGCAGGCTGAAGACCCAGGGAAGAATTGCAATTTCAGTCTAAAGGTAGTCTTAAGGAAGAATTCTCTATTCATAGGGGAAAGTCAAGCTTTTTCCTAAGGCCTTCAACTGACTGGATAAGTCTCATTCATTGTCTTGGTCTATTTTCTGTTGCTATGCTTCATAAAACTGTTTATTTGGACTAACAGTTCTGGAGATTAGATTGGGCAACTATATCTGGTGAGGGCATCATACTACATCATATCCCTGAGTTGCTAGGATTACAGGCATATTCCACTTTGCCAGGATAAGTTGTTGTTTTTTTTTAAAGGTAAAATCAATAATCATTTGGGTAGACTAACAAACAAATAAAAG